ATATATATGGCCTACATGGTCCCCCACTGTGCTCTCCCTGGTAACCCCTCTCCTTGCCTCACTCCAGCCTAGGCTGTTGCAATTCAGTTCCTTAAGCACAAGGTTCCTTTCTGCCCTGGAGTAACATAGCTGGCTTATTTTGTCCTTCCCTTTTCTCCTCGCTGACTCTCGGTACTACGCACACACACATGCGCACGCACACATGCACAGCAGTTTTTTGTGTTTTGTTTTTTGCACAGCAGTTCTTGAGACAGCCTAGCCCTGGTCATTCCTGTTCTTCTGATCTCTTTCCTTTTTTCCTCCTCCTCTTCTTTCTCTTCCTCCTCCTCCTCCCCTTCTTCCTTCTTTGCAGCATGGAAGATTGAACCCCAGACTCTACCACTGAGCTACACCCCCAGCCCCCCAGCTCTTCTTTTTGGTTTTCCTTTTTTTTTTTTTTTTTCTTGACAGGGTCTTGCTGAATTTCTCTGGCAGGACTGGAATTTGAGGTCCTCCAGCCTCAGCCTTCCAAGTAGTGGGATTACAGGCTTTGGACACCACACCCAATAATTCTAAGGGAAGGAGTGGCAAGCGGGGTCTGGTAGTGTAGGCCCTGCTAGCCTTGTACTTGCTAAGTAGCGTAGGATTGGCCCCAAACTTGAGACTCTCCTCCCTCAGCGTCAGCGCTGCGGTTACAGGTGTGGCTGCCACACCCAGTCAGTATACACTCCATCTAAACTTGTCTCTCTAGATGGTAAACCCCAAGAATGCAGGGCCGGTGCAGCTGCAGGGTTCTTCAGCGAGGGCTTAAGCGCAGCAGTGATCCTGGCAGGGAAACTGGGATTTCTCTTAAGGCTGTGTTCGCATGGCACTAACTGTAGGACGCAAAAGTATCAGTTGTCCCTTTTAGTGGAGCACATTGGGGATGATGAAGAAACAGCACCCTCCGGCTCTAGCTCCTGGTGCTGCCGCTGGGGTAGGCGAGTCAGGAAGCAGCTGAGAGCTTGCCGGCTCCGGGCGGCGCTGGAAGCTCCTCCAGGCCCAGTCTCCATCACAGTCTCAGCACACCCCCGGGGCGGGGGGCGGGCCGGCACAGCAGGCCTGGGATGGAAGGGCTGCTGGCTCTGCATAAGCAGGTGCTTTAGTCCGCTGAGCTATCTGGCCGGCCCAATAAGATTATTTCTATTTAGGGATGAAACAAAACAGTATAAAATCCTACCTTAGCTGCGCGGC